TTAAACCAATACTGCTTTCTGCTTTGTATCATTATTACTATATAAACAACCTATTGTTGGTTGGTCAGCCCTACGTGCACTGTAGCAATGACTGGTTCTTTGTGGTGTATGAATCTGTCAGATTTCTTGCTCTAAAACATCAAAATGGATTCCTTCTTTTTTTATCCACATGTACTGCCAACCTCAGCCTACGCTAAGAGCAAGGTCAGCTAATTTCTCTCTGTGTCTTTCTGTGCAGTGCCTCAGAACCTCACCTTAGACCCAGACACGGCTCACCCAAACCTGCTTATCTCAGACTTTGACACCAAAGTGGAGGAGGGCCGCGTTCGCAACCAGGAGCCAGACCTGCCGGCCCGCTTCACCCGTTTCTGCGGCGTCCTCGCCACAGCCCAGTACGCCAGCGGCCAGCACTACTGGGAGGTGGATGTGAAGGACAAAGGTGTGTGGTACCTGGGAGTCACCACCGAGTGCAGCAACAGGAAGGGCTTCGTCAGCCTTACTCCCTCCGCAGGATACTGGAGTCTGTGTCTGCAGGACCGGCTGTATGCCAACGGAGAGGATGGGCGCATCCCTGTCGCTGACTACTGGAACTCTCCTCGGGTCGGCGTGTACCTGGACTACGACAACGGCCGTCTTAGTTTCTATGACGCCGTCACAATGAAGAGATTGTACATGTTTGACACCTGCTTTGAAGAGCCGGTCTATCCTTTCTTTAGCCCAGGGAAGAATGATCCAGGCAGCAGGCTGCAGATATGCCACTATTACTGAGAGAGCTGTGAAAAGTGTTTAAATTTAGTTCTCTAAGGGTAAACTCGCGTATGCCGGTGTTTTCAGATTTGCTGCAGGCAAGGTTTTATCTCACAGACCAGGCTGGAGTGACAGGGTGATGTTGAGCCTTTGAGCCATGTACTGTACGCATTTGAGCTGTTACTTGTTGGTCTTACTGGTGTTATAAGTCAAGAGTTACGCTGAATAAGAAATACCAGGTGTCTCGTCACACTTCGGTTGTACTGAAGAGCTTAATTTTTCCAATATTTTCAGGTTGAAATTTTGAAATTTAGTATCTTTCAACCTAGACACACACTGTAGGCTTTTACCCCTGACTACTGTGGCTGGGGGGTTTGGAGAGGTGCTTTGCTGTCTATATCACTGTGTCTGCTGGGATGCAGATGCCTCAGATGCTCTTGTTGATAAGAGCACACTCAGCTCTTATCCTATTAGCAACCACTATGCTATACTAATGTACATTAACTCATATTGGCTATGTTTTTGCCAGGCAGGGTCAGTGCTGTTGCCTTGTTGGGTAGAACTTGAAGGAAATATGACATTGTTATCACATTGATAGTTGTTGACAGTTAAGATTCCCTCATTAATTTCCGACTGAAGGACGGTCAGTTCAGTGCTGATAGGTATCAGAGATATTTGACTGAAATTGTCCACCTTGGGATCTCGGCTCCCAGACAATATAAGACTTCCAGGGTTGTGTGTTTTGTGGATGTTAACGTCAGTACAAATAATTTTATCATTAGCATTTTAAAGTCGCCTTCATGTCTTCAATCTTTTTATTTTGAAAATTCTGTACTTTGTAAACATTTTTGGACTTACATATTCCTCTGTATAGTGCTCTGAGTTGCATTTTGAAGGTTTTTTTTTGTCAGCAGCGATACTGAAGACATGACGTGCCATTTTGCTTTGTTCCAAGTATTTTAAAAATCTGAAACATTTTATCAGTCTTCTTGAAAATGAGCAGGTATAAGACAAAGCAAACTGTTTTCAAATATTCAAACGGCAAATTATTAAGCTTTACAGCCATGTCCTCGAATATATCGTCACTAAACGAGTGAACCTGTAGACGTGCTTAACTTCAAAAGACTTCCAACAACAGCCAAGAGCCTGGTGGACTTGGCTAAAACTTAAACCCGGAATGCCGAATGAAAGTTTTGTTACATGTTCATGTTTTTTGTTTGCTTTTTTACAAACTATTTGCAGCATTTCCTTAATTATATTCCTTTAAATGATCCTGCTTTAGATTATTAATTGCTAGCCGTTGAGTTGGTCCTGGAGCTGCAAATTAGTACTGACATTTTTAGGTCTGTTGTCCAACTCGGTCCAGTCAGTGTGATTTCTATTTTTCATAATTGGTGTTAAATGTGAAAATACATGTATCTGGACGCTTATATATATTTTTCCTTCCTTCATAAACTTATGATTTAAACATGGTCTTATTTCAGATGATTATTTTATGGGTTTTTATTTGTATTTGTGCAGTTTGCCACATTGTGGTGTTTGACCTACAAGTGGGATGTTTGCCATCTTACAGGGTCGTATGGTGACCTGTTTTTTTTTTTCTTTCTTCTTCTTCTTCTTCTTTTTTTTCAAATTGTCTTATTGAGGAGCATAGCAGAAGGAAACATTTGACAGTATGATCAGCGGTAATATTTAAGAATGGACATCCTTAAGCCAATCACAAGTTGCTCCTTTTTCAGTTTCTTGTCAGACGTCTGAGGCGTTCATGTGTTAACTGCAAAACTCTGTGCTCTTTAACTTTGATTATTTGCTGATAAATGTTTTGTCTAAGATGGTATACCTCATTTAACAACTAATCATACTTATCATCACTGAGTTTCATTCATGTATTTAGCTTAGCAGTGTTTGGGCTGTGTCTTGATAAGTGTGACAAAAAGTGGATCTTGGTAGTCCCTGTTTGTGGCCCTTTCACCTTTTATAAATGTGCTTAGTGTTTCTCAGACTTTACAGTGAGATTAAAAGAGGAAAAAGAATGGTTTTACTTTTTTAAAGCCTCACTTATCCACTTTATATGCCCAGTGGTATTACCTGTCTTTTCATGAGACAATTACATTAGAATGTATTACTGGCCTTTTAATTTAGTTTTAAAATCTAATTAGTTTGCCCACAATGGCTGTGCAAAATGAGTCAAATCTTGCTGATTTATTTATTTCTGGATGCTGCCTGCTAGTAATGTGAGATTTAACACTTTTAATTATGGGCATTCAACCTCTTCAAGAATCTCAACACTATCTTAAGGAAGACATTCTGTTTTTGCAGCATCAAAATATAGAACTCTTTTCATCCTTTCCTTCTCCAGCTGAGATTGGTAGCTGTACTGGATGATAGATGGTCAGATTTTTACACCTCAGTAACCAAGTTGTTGAACTTTGATCTGTGGAAGGGCTTTTATTGTTTACATCCTGAACTACATGACTGTTGGCGGTGACCAGTCTGCTGCCTGGAGTAATAGGCTTCTCAAGAGGGCTGTTGCTCCGCTTTTCCTATTCTGGTCCAACATTCTCATTTAACCTTCTGAGACAGTTTGGCGTTGCTGATTCAGTTTTCATACTGCCAGAACATTTAAGGAGGAGGTGAGAAAACAGAGTTCTCTCCTCCGCCTGCTCTGGTAATGACTCAGTAGTGACTTTTTTTTCCCCCTGTCTCTTTGCAGAGATGCGATTTTAATGAAGGTCCATATAAATAGGCCATACAATGTGATGCAGTGGCATTAACATGAATGATATGTCCACCCATTATCGGCGCCTGGCTCTCTAGGGGACAACTTGGTATCCATGGCAACGACCGAGGAACAGAGGACACGGAGCAGTTCAGCATTATCACACACACAAATTGTAATGGCTGCTTGTGTGACCTTATGTAACAGCTTCTGAACGTCAGTCTTTTATGACTCATTTGGGTTAAAGATAAAAGTCTCTAAAGATAGATGCTGGTTTTAACAGTTTTCCAGGGAAGATGCCAATATCTGATTAGTGCATTAATGTTCAATTGCTTTAAACTCAATATTAGTGTTAATTCTGAAAATTAGTAAATAAATCATGTCATGGGAGGAAGTCTATAATAAGACTTTATAAAGAAAATGAAGCAAACATGCACAATAAAAATGCCTTAAAAGGTCCAGTGTGTAATTTTTAGGGGCATCTGTTAGCAAAAATGACATACAATATTCATAACTATGTTTTCATTAATTTATTATCTCCTGAAAATAAGAATTGTGTTTTTGTTGCCTTAGAATGAGCCGTTTATATCCATATACAGATAGGTCTTCTTCCACAGAGTCCACCATGTTGTGGTCTGTAGTTCTACAAACTCAGCACTTGGGAGAAATGTCAGTTCTGCGACCTCACCACTAGATGTCACTAAATCCCACACACTTGACCTTTAAGACCTAGACATCACATAGCTTCTAAAGATATAAGTTAAAATGTCCACTCATAGGCTAGTTTTTAGATTTAGCTCATATTTTGAATGACATGGCATAACAAGTGATTCAGTCAAGTTCCCATTCCTTTTGGTAGAGTGTGCACCCATGTAGGTTGAGTCCTCGTAGCGGCCCAGGTTGGACTTCAACCTGCAGTCCTTTGCTGCATCTCATCCCCCTACTGTCATTCTCAAACTATCCCATGACGAAAAAGGCAAAAAACACAAACAATAATCTATAATAAGCGGTGCGAAGGCAGTGGTTATCATTGTTGCCTCACAGCAAGAGGGTTCCTGGTTCGAACTCCAGGGTGGGGAAGGCCTTCAGTGCTGTGTTTATATGTTCTCCCTGTGTCAGCGTGGGTTTTCTCCAGGTAATCCGGCTTCCTCCCACAGTCCAAAGAAATGCTGGTGAGGTTAATGGTGACTCTAAATTGGCCATAGGTGTGAATGGTTGTGTGAATGGTTGTTTGTCTCTATGTGTCAGCCCTGCCACAGTCAGGTGACCTGTCCAGGATGTACCCCACCTCCCGCCCAGTGTCAGCTGGAATAGGCTACAGCCCCCCGTGACCCCCAACAGGATAAGCTATTACAGAAACTGAATGAACATTATTTTTCAGAAGGCAGCCGTATATTTAGACTCTTAACTCTGCAAGAAAAGATGTGGATATGCTGGTTTCTGATATGCCATAAAAGAAGCATATCAAAATGTTCACCTCATTAACACATATTGTACAAAAAAGCATAAAAAACTGAAGTTGTTCACACAGTAGTTCATAGTGTAATTCTTTAATATTTACAATCATACCTTTGCCTTGATTACATAAATGTAGTGATTACTTCTTGTTAGGCTGGCCTCTTGTAGGCTACACATGATGGTTGATGTACTGTTTCATTTATACAGTATGTGCTTCCTTTATTTCACACAGACATGGGTGGGACAGTGACGGTTACAGGTGAGAGACGGACAGAAAAACAAAACCATAGGAACACAGGGGTCTGATTAATGGAGGAGGACAGTCAACTAAATCTGTCATTACAGAGAGTTTTCCATACGATGGGAAATGCAGATGGAAACACAGAATGGATTACAGATGAATTATCAGGGAGAGATTGTAAAATACAGCTGGAAAACTTTCTGGTGTTAGCTGGTGATGTGTTCCTCGAGGAGCCACACGGAAAACCTTCAAAACACTGAACGACCAAGCGAATGAGTACAAATACTGGAAAAACCCCATAATAAAGGTGCTTGTCAGCTACAACAAGAATGTGATTGTAATATACAGTACACTTTCTGATTATGTTAAATGATACTATACACAGAGGCATATATTACTCTCGCAAACTATATAACTCTTATAATATTTTTGTATTTTGTGCAATGTTCAACAACAACTTACGATACGTTTTGGCAGAAGGAAAAGTTACTGTTTCAAACTGGAGGTGAGCAAAAGAGAAGACGGCTTTCAGTGCTACGAGTTACAAGGCCTATGTACGGAGATGTTTGGCAAAGAGGAGACAGTTCAAATGCACCAATTAGAAAAATAATTTGTAGAACAAATTATGTAGAAAAGAGAGAGAAAAGAAAAGAAAAAATAAATTAAGTCCTTTGAAAAAAAAAATACAGCAAATAATGTGTATACAACTTTGTTCCATTGATGTTTGCAAGTCATTCAGTTGGCTACTACTTGGCATGACCTTTCTACTGTATTAGTATATGCTCCAGTGTTGATTCATTAAGTGCTGTAATAAGTAGGCTATATAGTGAAATAACATGGACACCAAATCCATATGTACACCTTAATATGCATACCGTATGTACAACTACATTAGGTTGTAGATATGAATACTCAAAAGTGCAAGAACTAGTGGGGTCAGATATAAGAAGAAGTTAATAGAAGATGCGTTCAAAAAAACCATGTCGTTCTATTAACTGTTGTGCTTCTTGCTGCTTGTCTTTGGGTACCAAAACAAATAAAACGTGCATATAGGTCAACTCATCTCGTGACTCAAAAGAAAACAAAAACCTTTATCAGTGTGCAGGGATCTTCTCGGAGTGGTAAGGTGCAAAACGAGAATAAGAAACAATTCCTTTTACACATTCCTGTCTGCGTGTGTTCTGCTGTGTTTGTATGGTTAAGAAAATTGAAGGCAGTGACGACAGGGTCATTTTTTGGAGCGTCATGCAACAGTGTTCAAGGAAAAGCCCTGAGCATCGTTATTTCGATCACGAAACATCATCGGGAAATGGGGAGACAGGTTCTGCTTCTGTGTCTCACCTTTGTTTGCTGGTCGCTGGAAGTGTTGCCCATCCGCATTGCCCCAAAAAATTGCTGTGTATCACCAACTTCAGACTGGCAGGCTGTCTACTGGTGAGGTCACACTTGTGAGAAATACAGCTGCAACGCCTTGATCCACAAGATAATGTCCTGTTTATTTTTTTTTTTCCTTAAGGGATTTGGCTAAAACACTTAAGTTTAAGGTAGACCATGACTATGTAGATGTATCTAGTTATTCCTAAGTTGCTTGTTAAATTTAATTTCTTTTTAACTTTTATTTCACCAGGAAAGTCTCTTGAGATAGTGATTTTAATCACACTTGAACTTTGGTTGCTTTTCATGTCAACATATTTCTCAGATTTCTTTGTCTAAAGCTCTGAATATTAGATCTAAAGCATATACAATAAAAAGGAAATTCATTTGTGGAACATGTGGCCCCTGTAAAGTGTGAAGGCCGGTTGCAGCTCTATGTCAAAAAGCAGTATGTGACGTTAGCTTGTTTAAAAGCGGGGGTTGTGCACTACTGCAGATATCTGTAAACCTTGAAGCAGTGGTTGCCGGAGTCGGCAACAGCCACATGTCCATCTGAGGTGAGGGCGAGGCCCTGGGGGCCGTACAGCGGGTCTGCTGACGTGTTGATGTACGATAAGAAGGAGCCTGTGCTGTCAAACACCTGGAATAAAAAAATATCCAAGGTTAGTTTTAAGTGTTCATGTTGCAGCAGACTATTTAGCATTAACAAAACACTCAAGACCTCTCTTTTTTTTAAATATAAAATACATCCTTTTGCATAAATTTTCATGACTTAACTTTGACCATGTAATTTGCAGAAAAACAAAGCTATGTTAAAATATATTCAAATCTCAATGTTGTGAAGGCGACAGCAGACTGGACATAGCCCGTCTCACCTGTATTCTGCTGTTTCCCCAGTCAGCTACAATGATGTTTCCATTGGCGTCCACAGCCACACCAGTGGGAGCATTAAACTGGCCATTGCCTTCACCATGAGAGCCAAATTTGAACAAGAACTCTCCATCTGCACTGTACACCTGCAACAGGAAGTCAATAAAACAAACACTTTGTCTAAGTCTCCTTGTTCAATTTGATTTGAAATTTGAAATTTACTGATTCAGGAAGAAGCCTGAGAACCAGTTCCCAACCACATAAAGCCTCGTTAATAAGATACAAATGTCTCTTTGATCATGAATATGTTTATATTGGGTTAGGGGTTATATGGGATTTCTATGAAATAAACCAATAAAAAAATAAAGCCTGTGAGCATTAGGTTAATATTAGGCAAACAAAAACTATTTTACAAATAGCAGTATGAACTGCCTTGATGCAGGTAAGCTTGTGGAAAGGTGTTCTTTAATATTCCCTTCATCTGTGTTTCAGAATGCTCAACCAGACCAACAAAAGGCAGCAGAGAAGCCTCCAAAGGACCTAAAGACCAGGGGCCGTATTCACAAACATCCTGAGAGCACTCTCCTAACTTAGCCGAAAAACTTTTAGTAAGGAGTCCTAGCTTAGGAGTGATTTAGGAAAGTTCTCAGATCAACTCTAAGCAAGGAGGGGACAGAAATTTTTAACTGAGTGAGGAGGTGTGGTTGACCCTGCTGCTTTTAACAGATGTGATTGGTTGTCAGAGACACGCCCTTTTGTGGGACTGCAAAGTGTGGGCAACCAGTGGAAATGAAATGAACTGCTGTCTGTGAACATGTTGTCATTGTTAGTGTGATCACTCTGCTGATGGAAGGTTGAGACAGACCCAGGTCACCACTGCTGCACTGTTGCATTTTTCCAGTTTCTGAAACATCATCGTGATAATTTCATTTCCAGTGTCAATGCATTAGGTGGGAAATGACATCACTAATGACATCAACCACAAATATTATCCCCACGTGATCTAGTCTGTAGCATTTCATTTACTCTGTGTCATCCAGAGTTAAGAGAATATTTCTCCTTCCTCTTTGTCTTTCTGCTCTGCTTAAACTCTTAAATTGCTTAAAAGTCCTCCTCCCTGCTCCTAACAGTTTTCACCTTAGGAGCTCTTTTAAGGGTTAAGACACTTTGTGAATAACTTTTATCTTTAGAAGGACCTAGTCTTAACTTTAAGGGGAAATTCTCAATCACAATTCTAAGAATTGTCTTAGAATTGCGTCACCAGGAGCAACTCTTAGCATTAGGAAGCTTTGTGAATACGGCCGCAGAGTTTCTGTCTGAATATAACTGCTAACATGAGGTCTGCATCAAGTGGAGGAAGGATCAGAATGACCCGGATATGCAATTCCCCACCTCTCTTAAGCCCTAAGAAAGGGGGTCATCACACCCTGATTGGCCCAGACGAGAAATGCACCAAGCTGCTCTCAATCAGGAGTGAGTCCCCACACCCTGCGCAACAGGTGATCTGAATAACCCTCTGATTAACTCAGGAGATTGTGACACTCAGCTGAGAGGCCGTTTACACGTTGCCGGCTATTTTCATAAACGGACATTTCACCGTCTCCGTTTTCAAAAAGATCTTCGTTTACAATTACCCGTGTATATATACACAAGAGCACGCCAAACCTGTAGGTGGCAGTGTAACGAGAAGCTCAAGCCTTCCATGTATCCACTGTCACCATAGCAACATAGGTTGCACTTTTGACACAGGCGCAAGTTCTGGCGCATGCTGTGACGTCGGCTGCCTATAACTCCGTTTATCTCAGTTTACATGCAAACGCGCAAACAGAGTTATCCAAAATCTCCACTATGGCAAGAGTTTTTAGAAAGACTCGTTTTCAGAGAAGAAATCTCCATTTGCGTGTAAACGAAGGGCACAAACGAAGGAAGATGTCTCTGTTTATCAAAATCACTGTGTACGTGTAAAGGGCCTCTGAATTGAATTGGGAAAAGGGAAATGACAGCAAGTACTGAAGAATGAAGGAACAAACTTACCTTTACAGAGTGATTGTGAAAATCGGTCACAATAATTTCATTCTTGTTGTTCACTGCAACAAAGTGCGGGCCTGGATGAGGAGAGAGAGGGAGGTTAATGTAAGATTTGCTGTACTTGAACAGAAACTGATTCCTGCAGTTGGCAGCATTATTCCCTTTGCTGTTAGTAGGCTATTTAAAGACAATTTTCAAGTAGTGGTGCCTAAAGATGCAATTATGAAACACAGTTTAATCAGATGGTTAGCTGCTCTGATTTGCCTGGAGTAGCTTGATGGCATTCTTTTCATGCATTAGGTGCTTCGACTTGAGTCACACAATTGTTTCTGTTTTTTCAGAATGTCAATACTAGTCAAACTCTAATTGGAATTATATAGAAAGGCTCAAGGCCCCGTGATTCACCCTCAGCGCTGATAGTTTACAACACAGTGTATCATGAGTATCTACTTATCTGAAGTGAAAACCTATTGTCTGAGTCACCCACTAATGAGCTCTGTAGCTCCCAACACTGATTGTCTTGTAGCAAATGGGGGAGAACATCGGTTAGTTTCATGGCACTGGAGTCAGAGCAGTGAAAAATCATTCACATTGATCTTTTCATAGCCATTTAGACAATAAAACACAATGCACATGACAAAATGTTCATTATTGTAATAGTAAGTGATTATTACAATGGCATGTACTTGTGATTCTGATTATTATTTGTACAAGCACAGCTTCGATTTGTCAACAATCTGAGTTGTCAGGAGGGCAGACACATGATCAGGGAGTCGGGTTAGACAGAGGGCACCGCACTGTGGGATTAAGGTTGCAGCAAGGCCACACTTAGTACTTACTGAACACTGAGCCAGATTTATTAAAGTTTGGGCCAAGTTTTTCTAGATTGAAAAAAACAGGAGGAAGAACAGAAAGAAAGGAAAATAGGTAGTCAGAGATAAAGGATAAGCAAAGAAGAAAATAGAGTAGGGAGGTCAGCACAGGCGCAGTTTGTTGGGGGTGCAGGGGGGCCACTGCATTGCCTGGGGCTTTGTATATACAGGCTGACATTGTTAGAATGTAATGTGATGAAATGCATTACAGAGAGAAAAGTGTCAACTTTTATTCCTTGCTAGTTTTATTTTACTGTTTTTATCTCTTTCAAAATCCCAAATAGTACTATGCAAAATGTCATGTCATATTAACTTAATAAAACCTAGTAGGCACTGCTGCCTCACTGACAGAGGGCGCTATTGTTTGTGAGCTCCAAGTCAGTGTTATAAAGGAGTCTTATGTTACACACTGAGGTCTCCTTCTCACCTGCAAACTGTCTGTCAGACGTCCCCCTGCCTCCAAACTTAGTCACCAACTTCCCATTGGATTGAAAGATGAAGACACAGCAGGCCTTGTTATCCACGGTGATGATGTGTCCATTCTTGTCCACAGCTACACCCTTAGGACCCATGAGCCGGCCTGCTCCGATCTTATTCTGTGAGGGAGGAAGGGAAACTGATTTAAGCAGGGACATAAAGAAAATGAGGGAATTCTAATTGGGAGATCACGCTTGGCAAATGGAAAAAGTTTCAGCTGGTTGCAATCTGCAATCCTCACCACTAGATGCCGCTAAATCCTACACACTGTTCCTTTAAATTAGGCATACTGTATCTTACTCTCCGTTTAGCTTATAACAAGTAATGAGATCTCACCTTAAACTTGCCGTCAGAGGAGAAGATGCTGACCCATCGATTGTCATAGTCGGCCACAACAATGTCGCCGTTCATGTCCACAGTGACGCCTGTCGGTCTCTGCAGTTGCCCCGGAGACCGACCTCTAACTCCAAAGCGCATTTTGAACTGCCCATCATTGGAGAACACCTGAAACCAGCCCCTTTATAGTGAATCATGCCACGATCACAGTACTAAACACAGAAGCACACGTGGTTGCACTTACATGCATTTTCCGCTCTGTGTCTGTCTCACCTGTATGCACTGGTTGTTGCTGTCAGCCACGACCACTCTGCCGTTACAAGAGGCTGAGATTCCCTGCAGATTGGTGAACTCCCCTTTTTCTCTGCCCCGGGAACCTGACAAATAAACAGTTACACACTCAGTAAATGTGCCGTTTTATATTTTCACCTTTGTGTCAGTGTGTAATACTCTGCTTTAAAGGCTCATACCAGTGGATTCTGGATGAAAAACTGCTTGTGCTGCTGATCATTTTTTCAGAGCATAACTTAAATTTCTGGATTGACTTTCTACCTTCCAGGCAAATACAGGTTTCGGTTCGTGTCACTACAGTTCAAAAATGAACTTGCAAAGACTTGAAAGACCTGCATGAGAAATGTAATCCTTCACAGTGGGAATGTTGAACCTTCATTTATTTCTGGGAGTTATTTTTGCATGGAAATGACTCCGACATCTAAAACCTGTGAGGCAACATTGAAAGTGAGCGACCACCACATTCTCCCTGCTACCTTTTTCCACAACATCCATATTTGTTTTCTGCTTTAGATCTTCTGACAAAATACTGTAGCTTGTGAATGCAGTGTTTCTTTTTGGATGTCACCTCCTCTGTCAAGTCACAGCAAGTTGATTTTCATTCTGCAGTCTGCTGGCATGAAATGAAAAGCAGAAGCTGCCCAGAGGGGAAGATGTCAATCTAAAAACTTGTTGTTGGGATTAGAAAACTAGTTTGATGATGTTTTCCTGATTTGTGGTTAAGGAAATAAAACATACAAAACAACCAACAGGCTGTTGTTATGAAGGACATTTTGTTATTTCTGGATAGGTCTACATGGTTCTTGGTTTTATACAGTGTATGGACTTCTTGGATGAGTCATCTCTCTTACCCACTCTGTAGATGAGCTCATCCTCGATGGGGTTCTCCTTTTTCTTGGTTGTGCTGTACATACTGGAGGGCCGACGCACTGCTTTCTGCCGTATGTGGCCCCCTGTCCCGCTGGGAGACTTCACCCTCCTCTTCACATCATCTGGAGATTGTGGCACGTCTGAGGGCTTGACTGCCCGCAGGCGGAAAGGGCTGCCCCGTATCGGCTGGCCGTACAGCAGCAGAGCGAAAGAGTAATCTCCCTCTGAGCGTAACATGTAGCCCACCTCGTATGTCCCATTCTTATTGTCCGCTATCTCCGCCTCTGTAATGCGGCTCCCGTCAGCAGATGTTATCTCTGCTTTTAAAACAGCATTTCCTGTCCGCACCAACTCCCCATCCTGCAGAGAGAGGTCACTGATTCAATTTCAGAGCAAGAAAAAATATCTCGGTCAAACAATACAAACATGGTTGCAGCCTCGAAGGCAGCACTTTCTTCAAACACGTCAGTGGCTACTAACAATAAAGACTGAATAACTAACTGCTTGCAAAAGAACAAGAGAATAGAGTGAAATGGGAATTTGAATGAATTCAATTACACTGAAATATTTGAACAAAGCAAAGTTCACTCATATAGCAAAAGGCGATAAGGCTAAACAATAAAGGCAGTACTTTGTCTTTAGTTGTCACGGTAACTGTTTGGTGCTGCCCAGTCGCTGCATGTCGGAGGCCCTCTCCCGTGGCGACAGAGGTGTGAGCCACAGCAGCTGTGGTGAGGAGAACCCCCAGGTTCTGGATGGAGCGCCGCAGACCTTCAGTCTCCACCTGGAGCAGACAGCATGTAAGATATACAATATTTTCCACTGCAGAATCCCTTATTGCTCTAAGAGTTTACATTTCAATGCTTGGTACCATGTGATGTAAGGTGACAGAAACCCACTCGTCCCTTAGTGGTTCGCATCGGGTTCATTCTAAATGTCAAGTCAAAACACACCTTATTTTTAAGTACTGTGAATTTCCGGCACAGAGCTTTTATTTTAAAGTGTCATTTCCCGCTGTAAAGTGAGTGACTAATGGACAGCTACTTGACAGAGACAGCAGACTAGCTCTACGAGATGGCCAAATGCAAGTATGATGCTGAATATATTAAACTGTGTGGACCTTGAACTAATGACTAAGGAGAAATCTGGACCCTGTGGCTGGACCACTGCACTAAATAATCCTACATATATGACAAATATATGCAACCTGCCATGCCTGGGATGAAACTTTGGCTGGTGAGGAAAGTCTAGCATCTATCAAGCAAAAGACTCATATTTTTTATTGACGTAAAAGTGCTATGCATTGATAAATTTGGAATACTAGGGTTGTGCTTGTGAGGTTTCTTTTGGGTAAGAAGGTGTCAAATGAGCTCTGAAATATTACTTAACTGAGCTTTAATGTCTCTGCTCTGCAAAGTGATTTTCTTTTTCTTGCAAAAACTCTTATCAAAAAAAGGGGAAGCCTCATTTTGTAACCATGTGGGAATATCAGTCAGACCACCATACTGACAATCAAGAGCCATTACATATTGTAAAACAGTGGATACCTGACAATCCAGGTGTGCATTCTGATGTGGTCTCTCTGGGAAGTCATGTCTAGCCAGCGCTGTAACCCGCTCACTCATCTGCTTCTGAACCAGCAGCACCTGCAGGAGACACATATTGTATTCCACATCTTTTTTTTCATTTCTATATTTTCATGCAAAACCCAAGCTCACACCCTGCTACACTACTACAACACATTTGATTCCCATCTGTGTTGTAACCTGTTTGTTAGCCTGCTTGTACAAATTACAATCTGCTGGCCCACCTCAGTAGCACTCCCATGGCTGAGCGCCTGCTCCGTAAAGCTGCAACTGCTCTGTATGTGTTCCTTCCCCTGAAGGAGAGCCGTAAGCTGGGCCTGCAGGACCTGCGCTCAGGTACGTGGAAGATAAGGGGAAAAGTGACACAAAAGAGCGAGAGAAGGGGGTGAGAGAGGACAGGCAGAAAAGACAGCAGGCATGTTGACAGGAATGTGAGACATGTGGCAGGTCATGCTCGACGACTTGTCTGTAAAATGCCTGTGTGTCTTTGTGCATCTGACAATGAGTACACAACAATGTGCCTGCCTGAGTGCATGTACCGTACATGTGAATGTTGAAACATAGCTAACCTTCTGCTTAGTGCTGCAGATGTTCTCCAGGTCTGTAATGAGGGCCGTCTTGCGCAGATGCAGCGCCCGCTCCAGCTCTTCAAACGTACTGGTAATCTCTGCCACTGCCTCATTCTTCCTTTCATTCAGCTGGCGGGAGATCTCGCTCACCAGCTCGATGGATGCTGTTAGCTGAGGCAGCCTGCAAGACAATATAATATGAAACTTTCTGGTTAGGAACTAGGTATAAAACTGCAAAAAATAAACCAAAATGGGTTCTGCCAGTATTCCCATGTTTGGAGATGCCAGGCACAGCATAGCGTAGGAGATTCTTTGATGGCAGATGCCAAATCTGGGCCAAATGCTTAAACTCCCCAACACCTGATGTGAAGGAAATATTCTGAAAGCTGTATCAAGCCCCCACCTGCTCAGTATGGCATCCAGCTGTGTCTTCAGCGCAGCCTTGTGCTGTTCCACGACATCCCGCAGAGGAACAGTCACATGCTCCCTGTGCTCGCCCTCTGTACAGTCCAGACACATGGCTGTCTCACACGACTCGCAGTAGAACTCCATCACCTGCAGAGGGAGACAAACAGAAGAAAAAAAAGCTCCTTCACTTCAGCTGAGCTTTCAGATATACTTTCCTTAATGTTGCTAAAAACCAAAAAGGTGATCAGGTGGGGAAATTTTGATGATGATGTGATATCTGGGCTGAGGTGTCACAACAGGGCTTCTCACCTTTCCCTCATGGTTTGGGCAGCAGAGGGGCTTCCCTGCAGCTGCAGCACTGACTGACTCCAGAACACTGCAGGCCTCTGGCCGCGAGCACTCTGGGTCTCGTTGAAGGACCTGGCAGAAATCATTTTAAACTTCATTATGCTGCTTTTAAATAGCTTCAATAGGGCATTTATTCTCCTTATTTGGCAGAAGTCAATTTAGAGGTAAAAGGAAACAAAGGGAGGGAGAGAGGGGAACAAAGGTCCAGAATCAAATCAAACCGGGGATGTAACAGTATGTCGATTACCTATATAACCTATAGATGCTTCCTCCTTGTCTGAATTTCCTTGTAGTCTGTTGCTGACGTCATTCTCTTCAGGACACAAACACATTCTTGTACCTCTATCTGTTTGAGCACCATCCATTCAATACCTTCATTCCCTATAGCTGAATGGTAACTTGATCATCATCCCTACATGCCAAATGGAAACCTTCATTTAAAACAAACCCTTAAAAGAGCCCCTTGGAAAAGGAAGGACTGTCCAGAATGACCTCAGTCTGCAAATATGTCCTCCCTCTCTTTAACAAAGAGTGGTGCTCACAATAAGAGGCATACAGGAACACACGCACACACACACACTGCCTGTTTCATGCCTTTGACTCCTGTCTGTAATTATTTTAAATAATCTTTGCTTTGTTGTTAACCTCCTAATTAATTCCATCAGTGTTTTGTTCCATGTAATGCACTGGAAAATCCTGTTTGGCTAACACATTTGTGTCTGACTTGAATTAAAAAAGGGATTAAGAGTCAAACCTCCATGAGATTAGTGATGAAGAAGTTGTTCTGTAGAGCGCACACTCCTTTCTCTGGCAGGATGGATGTCTGCCGACACACTGGACAAGAGAGCGTCAGAGACTCTGGGGGAATGTAGTTCTGGAGACAACTGGAAGGAGGGAAGCAGCAAATAAAGAAAAGCATAAATTAGTACATAAAATGTGCCAGTGATTCTTGTGCATCATTATGTGTAGGATTATTAGTCACATTCAATATAGCTATACAGTGGAGAGAAAAGGAGAGGAAGACACTAAGGAGAGAGCTGTCACCTTATCTCAGTAATTGAGAGACAGAGCCTAAATAGTGCTGCTGTCACAACAAATAGGGGAAAAGTGTGAATCCGAGTCAATCCACAGAGCCCACAGCCTCAGGAGAGCACACGCACACTACCTCTTTGAGTAAGTAAATCTCGTGCAGATCAATCTGCCAAACAGAGATGCAAAGAGACAAAAGACTTCAGGGAGAAAAGATGCTTGTGTGCTCGTTTCTGCATCTGCATGTTTATGCGTGCGTGCGTGCATTTTGGATTCTGGCCTCATTCTGGCGGCAGTCACACATCTATCCCACCGGCCCCTAAAGGCTGAGGATGTTGTGCAGGTTCAATTGCCCCTAGGAGGCTATCTATTTAACATTAGACAACCTTGGAGCCAAAACCAATCCCACAGTCAGCAAAGTTCAGCTGAAATATGCAGATTACCACACCGCACTCTTGGCCTACAGCCCGGCTGCCATCCAGCACGTGATGTACGGTTGTTTTTTCTTTAGCTCCTGTTGTCACTAAATCGGCGGTTGAAGCTGCAAGAAACCTGAGGTCAGTGTCGAGGATAAGTCTCTGTTGTTGCACACAAGGATGTCTGGCAGCTGCGCGGGCTGCATGCTAACACCGTATTGTTTAATTTATGGCACCACACAGGCTCGTATCAACCAAAGCTCAGTAAACTGCAGTCGTTAGCTTTTGAGAACAACAGAGAGCTTTAACAGAAGTCTATCTAGCACTCTGTCAACACCACTGTAACACTCTCTCTGAAGCCGGGATAAATTACTATTGCTTTGTCTCACACGCAACCAGCTGGGGACCACAGGCTCACAGTTATGTGGTGGAAAGTTTTGTGATTTGGCACAACTAACACTTGCTTTTATTATCGATTAATCTGGCAATTTGTTATTACTGTGGGCGGATTATGAGACAATGGGCTCTTTGGGCACAGACAGGCCCCACCACCTCTCTTAGAGGAGAGAGACACTTAGTCTTTGTGGTGGTTTTACATGTCCTTGGAGACATTATGCATCTTTGTGGGGTTTTATGTCTCTGTGTAGTTATTTTGTATCTCTTTGAGGTAATTTTGTGTCTTTTTTTGGTTGTTTTTTGTCTCTTTGCAGTTCATTTGCATCTTTTTGTGGACATTTTGAGTCTCTTCTTGGTCAACACATGTTCATTTCAGCAACATTTTGCAGGTGAAGGCTGGGGGAGCCTGAGACTTTGGGCCCCAGACCTGTGCCCAATAGGCCCATTTAGTAATCTATCCATGGTGAATACTTTTATGTGAAGGCTAAATTGAAAGAAGGATCAATTCAGCCCTCTTGTGTGCGGTGCATCTGCTTATTTGCTATCAATCTGATGTTTCCTGCCATCACCTGTACCAAGTTATGAGGACTGACAGCGCTGTGCACAGGACATGTGATTTTAAACGAGTTCATTGTTAAAAAAAATAGTAAAGCTTCTTCCATCAAGATTTCTCAAAGTGTTTGTTTTGTCCAAAAAAACAGGGGAAAAAAACAACAAATTTTATGTACAATTACAGAAAAGCAGCAAATCAAACTGAATAAAACTGTTAGCATTGGTGCCACACTCATCCTTGTTAAGTCAAATCCTGCAATCATGAGTATAAATACAAGTCACCACATGCCTCTGTGATAGGATGATGTCATTTATTTTGGCACCATTTGAAACAGTTGCACAACCCATGCCAAACTCATCCTGTTCTCTGAATAATAAGCACAGGACTTGGATAATCACAGAAGGAGTAAAACGAGGAGTAGAATTAAAAGTGACACCATACCATACCAAACAGACTCGGCCCAGCGTGAGTTTGCCAGCTCAGCCCTAAACCCCCCTAAAACTACATCAACCCATCCAGTGTTAAAACATCTGTCTGGCAACATCATGTATAGCTCCAGACAAAAATCTGTTCACCTCAGCAGGGCTCCAGATCACATGCTATCCAGTTAAACCGGGGATTAAACTTGCCCTCCGGTGGGCAAATGCCCCTCACACTGCCTGGAAAAAGGATTTATCCTGTACTCTGTGCGGCTATTCAAAACTATTCCATAAATATTTGTTTGATCATAGAAGTAAACCAGTTTGAAACATAATCCCAGTTATCCTCTGTACCTACCTCCCTCTTAATTCCCCATCCTCCCACCCTGACCCACAACAAGCTTTCCAAAAAGCCTCCTCTGCTTTGCTCGGCACTGAAAGGCCCCAGTAAGTATGGCCTGAGGGGGTGTCATCTTTCTAAGGAACTGTAGATTGAGGAATTGTCATCGTGTCTCCCAACAATGAGCCTTTTCTCAGACGTTGACGGTCCCTGATGCTGAGGAATGCACTTATCCCAATGGAGTCAGTGAGGAGAAGTGCTCTGAGCCGTTTAATTGTGGCCAGGGATTTGCAATAGATGAGGTTCCTCTATTACGAGACACGTAAATATGACAAGAATTCTTCAGTAATAGAATGGGAGGATAAGCACTGGCAGGCAAAAAAAGCTACAGCGTTGTTGTACCACCTTCTTTGCGTGGCCAGAAAAAGCTACATGTAGCAGACGGTGTGAGCAGAAACTTGGGTTTGTGTCAGGTTTAGCTCGAGGGAAGTGTGGGTAATTAGGACTTTTGCCAGTTGTCATTGAAACAGAGAGCACAAATGTTAGTTACCTCTCACAGAAGGTGTGCAGACAGGGCAGGACCTTGGGGTTGCAGTAGTGATCCAGACAGATGCTGCAGACCAGAAACTGCTTGTCTATCTGACGCACCACAGGGCTGGTGCTCCCAGCCTCACGCTTTGCCATGGCAGACGACATTTAAAGCCACGGACAATGACAGCAGTTAACCTACAGAGAGATAAAGATAAAAGTGTGAACATTTGCATATATTTGTCTGTTAGAGCTTTTCCTGAGAGTGTCACTTTCAGGGCCTCTAATGCTCCGCAAACTTACCACAGCAGGTACCAGGAACCAAAGTTAACAAAGCTGCTTAATTCCTTGATTAGTACAAAAACGTGCCCATTGTTATTGTGTTATTTCTGGGTTAATACCATACAAAAACCAGCTGAAAGGGAACAGTGTGAAATAGAAGCAGCGCACACCAGTCCTGAGCGTGCAGGCAGCAGCAGATGTAGAGAAACCAGTAAGGCCATGTTCCTGGCTTTTGATCAACATCTCAGATAACAACAAAAGCAGGAAAATAAAAGAGAGGAGACGTTCTGTAACTGAAGTGCAGTCTGTGGTTAAAGAGGAGACTTTCATTACAAAAAATACACACTCCTGGCTTGTTCTGACACACAGACACACACACACAGGTGAATAAAAACAGAATGTACTGAGTAGCGTCTATGTTGCCAAGTCACTGGTGAGGTCCCACTACTGCATATGCTTTTACATAACATACAAAATTATATATGACTTAAAAAAATTACAAAGTTAGTAATCAAAAGGCTTAATCAGTCTTTTTTTTTTCATGTTCATAATAGGAATGTAACAATACATCAGCCTGGATCGATATATCAACGATCTACAATCCAACATCATCAATGGAAAGTAAAAACATTGATACCTATCATTGTCTTTAAGATACACCTTTATTTGAAATTCTCATGGCACACCTGCGTCACTGTCTCTGCCCCTTCCAAGCATTGATATCGTCTCATATTGATCACAGGCCCCTGAATTGTATCAAATCGAAATCATATCGTGTGATATCGGCAAGTATTGCATCAGCCGAAGAACTGATATAATATTGTATCATGATGAAACTTGTGATTTACACTCCTACTTTATACACATAGACTTACAATACATATAAATACATATAATTAAAGAGTGTGATGAAAATGAATCAGGTTAGAGCAGGTTAGAGTCCTGCATTTAAATTTCAGTGACTGGGAAATATGGGAGTAACGATCCATCGAACTGGATTGATATATCAATTCAGTGATCAACGATCCAATATCATTGATTCAAAGTGAAAACATCAGTCCATATCGTCATCTTTAGCATAGGCTTTTATTTTGAAAGTCTGTGTCACTGTCAAACAGCAGCAGGCAGATGGCGAGCAGCCAAGACAACAACAACGAGGATAACGTTATTTCCTGTGGAATAAATCAGCAGTGTGGAAATATTTTGAATTTTGGAAAAAATACAGGCTAAAAAAGAAAGCACACACTGCACATAAACACTGCCGATACAAAATAAAACACAACATACCTGCCTGGTCGGGCATCTAACTCTGTAGTATTAATTAAAGCAACATTAGCTGCTCTGTATCAACAATGTTAGGCTAAAAAAAGGGCAGGCAGGCTGAATCTCAGCCGTGCTTTTCTGTCAGGAGATGCAGTGATTTAAACCAACACTGAGTAAGATTTTGTTATTTGTTAAGCTATGAGTAGAGGGAAAAAATCCACTAGCCGCTAGGCTAATTTACACAATGTAAACATGCTTAAGCTAATAATGGGCCACTAGCAAAAAACAACTGTTTTGTCCATGAACCATGACAGTTATTACTGAGCTGAATTTGATACTTATGTCAAATGACATTGTTGTTAATCCATGTTTTATGGCTGTTTGGAGAAGTTTGCCTTCAGGGTTTCAATCCAGCTGTCCTTGAAGATTTATGAAAAAGATGATGGTTTGTTTTAAAATGAAAAGATTTCTTTCAGAAAGGGCTCTCTAACAGAAAGCCCTGAGGGTTAACTTAGCCCATGTGCTGTTTTATGTGTTAGTGGAGTCAGTATAAAGTAAAATTTACTGCACTTAAGCAGTTACAATTACTTACATTATATACGTGTTGTTTTTATGTTTTATGGCCCAAAGTAAACTGATGGTAGGCATATTATATCATTCGCAGGCCCCTAAATCGCATCGAATCCAAATCATATCATGGCAGACTTTGTAATATCTGCAAATATTGTATCATTGTATGTGATGAGTCATGATGAAACTGGTGATTTACAACCCTACTGGGCACTATTTTGCTTAAGATTTGAAAAAGAGATCATGTCCTCTTTGAACACAGACATCTGTCAGTGTATGAAATGTTTTATATGATAATAAATGCCAGAAAATGTGTTACGCTGGCACTGATTCACCCACATCTAGAAAACATACCAACATTTTATATCACACCCTAAATACAAGGCCACACACACACGCCAATTTAAAATAGTAACAGAACTCTGTGAGGTGACCAGAACAGAGGAACCCCATGTCTTACATAATCTCATCTATTATAGATATACAGCTGCAAGGTTTGGATATTCTGCCTAGCAACACGAACCGGTGCTGACTCCAACTTGGCCCACTTTCACATTCATCAGTGCAAGCCCCAACAGATATGGGATAATAATTACAGTGGTATGCATATTAAAGATGCTACTGCATCATGTTCTCATTGCTATGCGCCTGGTGTGTAAATGAAGTGGGAAGATCAGGTGTTAATGCTGGAGAAACATCCAACCTTAGACATAAAAAGTGCAAGCGCCATTTCCAACAATGACAAGAGGCAACGACAGCTTCACCTGACTTGACCTTCGGCTTAAAATTGCCACCTTTGATAAATACTGCAGCATGCCATTTTTATCTCTGTGTTGTCAAGTGGCTCTGGCATTGTAGACCAGCTACATTTTCTCAGTGGGTCAACACGTGTATTATTCATGTATCAGATACAGTGTCTCAGAATGTGTCTCAAACAAACAAGCCTGGCCTTAAGAAATGTGGGAGTTACACACTCGATGTTGATTACAGGGTAAGCAGGGGACACGCCCCCCTAAATATTTAGAACATGTGCATTCTTCCCTCCTAATAGAGACACTGAAGTAGCAGAGGACTTTTACTCTGACAAAATTAAAGACAAGGTTCCCACACATTTGCATTTAAAAACTTGTCCATGACTTTTCAAAGACCCATCATTTTTTCTTGCCTTACTTGCCTGGGATAAAAGGAAGTAACATACGCGATGGTAAACAAAAACGTCACACACTGATGCATATAAGAGCAATTATGTCACATTACATGAAAGGTTATCCACGGAAGATTACTGTAACAATTTCATTACACACAACAAAATTCATGACTTTCCCAAAACATTTCCAGGTTTTTCATGACTGTGGGAATGCTGTAAAGATATTTACACCATAAATTGACGTCGAAAAGTCATGAAAATTCACCAGGATGCAAGAAGTTAAGCGTTAGATGCTCAACATTTTCTAGCAGAGGAGCCCAACCCACCAATTTCATATGTGTCCCCACAATACTGAACCTTGCACACATACAAAAAAGGAAAATAACGCACACAAAAACACCAATAATCATCATCCCCCTACCAGACTCTCCCCATCTGCACATCTGTCACTGCTGGATCTAAATCCCCTATGTACCATCTAGCTCATGTCCTATTGTCAAGACAAACACACCCACACACGAACACGCACAGATCAGACGCACATCCAACGACACAGTGTGTAGACCGGGAGGGTAAAAGGTCACTTTTTAAGCTGTCAACCACAAGAACGACATGTCACATTCCCACTCTGGTTGGGACAGGCAGGGTGTCTGACGGAAATGATTACTGGTTAAGTAGCTTATGTTTTGTCCAAACCTAAATATGCATTGTTCTCCATAAATCCTGCGCTTCAAACTGGCACTTCAAGAGTATCCAGTTGTCTGCGTTGGAATCAGATGAAAAGAAGCTCGAATATCTCCTGATAGAACATAGAATTAAAGAGGGATCAACCACAGGATGTACCGTTTACTTCGGTGCAGTTCTCACACTTCTCTGTCATTCTCTCTCTGTGCTAGAACACACTGATACTAATATCATCTGTAATGACGTCTGTCTAAATTTAGATGCACGTATTAGTGGGGAGGTGAGGAAGCAATGACAGTGAAACTAAAATAAGACAGAGGGGCTGCTGGAGAACGAAGTGGCTGGTGTCTTTTTGTTTACTGTTGGTTATATTTTAAAGCTCAGTTTTATTGGGCGGACCAAAGCAAAAGAAGAATCTGACACCCAGTAAAGCCCAAATAAGAATTCTGAATCAAAACACTTAGATGAAAAAAAGTAGCACATATGCTTAAACCATCTGCTCGGAGTCAGTCACAGAGAATGTAAAAGAGTCCTCTACAAAGCTAATGGAAACAAAATGCGTACATGGTGCAACAACAGACACAAGTAACACTTGTGCATGCACATGAGTGGGTGGGTGCTCGTGTGCATGTTTATGTGCATTCACCAGACTGTACTGTGATATGGTCCCAACTTCATTCACACCCTCTTAAACTCTTAAGTAGGCCACGATGCGTTTGATGCTATAAAGTCACCATGACCAGTTAACTGACAGGGCTGGGAAGTTAAAAAAAAATGAGTGAAGACGTGCAGATTTAAAGCTTTGCAGTAGAAGACAGCAGGGTGGGATAAAGCCAAGCCCAGGCAGGACTGCAAGAAGCTTCAATAAAATGATGCACGAGGACACATCCTGCAGAGAGCTGTCAACTAATACCATCAAAATGAAATGTGTTATCATTCTCCTGGCCATTATATACGCAGCACTATCAGCAGTAATGTTGCCAGTGACCTTAGCTTCGCTAATTCCCCAAACTCTCAGGATTACAGCTTTTGCGTGTGTGTAACTAATTGTTTGTTTGTGTGCGTGTGTGTGCAGCGTGTTTGTGTGTGACAACAAGCTAACACCCGCTGAGTTAACACACAATGAGTCTATTCACTGCTGGCTTTACCGAGTACAAAAGTAACAGTTTTCTTTGTCTCGTTCAAGCACTGAAACCTCTGCTGTTGCTTTACTGCTCAATAGGATCCCTATAGCTCGTGTGTATCTCTTATA